GAGAGAGAGAGAGAGAGAGAGAGAGAGAGAGAGAGAGAGAGAGATTTAGTATAGACAATATACCGAGTGCTGTGGGTGGCCAGGGAGGCCCAGCAGGGGTCTGAACTGGCCTTTGCAGAATAAATTCTTTCATGCAGGTCTCTGTGGAGGAGTTGGGTCTGACTGTGAGACTCCTGTTTTGGGAGACCCCTCTGGCCAAGCATGGGGGGTGGTGTGGGCCCCGAGGCCTGGGACCAGAGAGGTTGTTACACCTGTGTGGAGCCAAAGCGGGCAGAGGCCGGGTCGGAGGAAAGAGGACACAGATTCAAGAGGTTGGGGCAGGAGGAGAAAGCGGGTAAGGAGCCTTCTCTCCGCTTCCCACCACCCACCACCAAGGCAAGCCCGTGTCCACGTTATAGGCTCGCATTCTGCCGTTTCCTCGCTGTTCCTGCTGTGATTCTTCACGGAAGGAGAACGGCAGGGCTCAGAGGTCCGACGCCCAGCACAGCTCCAAAAACAGGAGGTGCCTTTTACTCTAAAGAAAATAGTTCGACAAGTGGAGATGCTGTGGGGCGAACGACCAAGTACAAGGCCTAAGAACCCCCAGTCAGGCCCCAAGCCGGGGCTGCGTGAAGCCAGCTCAGGTGAAAAGAGTGCAGCCAAGGCCCTGCTTTGGACCAGACAGCGAGATTTGGGAGGGACGGGGCCTCTTGTGTTCAGAGAAGTGAGACTGCCAAGGAGGAGCGGTCTCCTTAACTGTGCACAGTACCTGGAGCTGCTCCAGCCTTCAGCAGGCCCTGACCTGCAGGGTTCTCCAACAATAACTCTCAAATTGGGCTCAGGATGCAGAGGCGGGAGGCCCCTCCATGACCCCACCCCCTCACTGAGCTGTTTTTTCAGAGTAGGTGTTGATGTAAACGGAACTTTGTAAAAGAGAGTTCTGTGAATTTAAAAACAATTTGAAAATTACTGCTAAAGAACAGTCGCGCTTGGAAGCTTCTACAACCTCTGACTTCCAGAGTGGGAGGGGCCTCGTGCATCCTCTGATGTGGTCATTTTTAGGCAGAGCCTGGATCTGGGGTCTCAGAGGGCCCCAGTAGCTCCTGCCACCTTGGGACAGCCCTCTGACAATTAAGCTAAAGTTGTCAACCTGTGTTCCCACCGGAGTCTGGGCTCTGGCCCGTGCAATTCCTCTTCCACATGACCTCTCCGAAGGAAGCCACGCTACTCCAGACTCCCCTCCTCCAGGCCTAACATTTCCAGGACGGTTCCCGAGTCCTCCCCAGCCTGATGCACACCCCTCCAGGTTGTCTTCCTTAAGACAAATGGCCCACAGCAGCTGCCAGAGGCTCTCAGGTGGGGCTGGAGCAGGACTATGGCCTCCTCTCTCCAGCCTCACTTCCTTGTTCCCCAGACAGGACTCAGACCCGGGATGGGAAAGGGACCAGATCCTGGAGAGTGAACACGTGTCTTCTTCACTAAAAACCACCAGAAAGAAAGCCGGCCGGGTCAGAGGTGTGCTCTCTCCTCATGGAAATAGAAACAGCTGTCGTTTGTGGAGGGCTTTTGCTGTGGCAGGTACTTTTCCCAGGAATTATGTTGTGGAAGCCTTGGCACAATCCTCTATGACAAGTAGCAGGAATTGAGGCTGAAGGTCAGGCTGAGGCTGACTTAGGAAAGCGAGCCTCAGATGCCGGCACAAAAGCCTAACCTGTGTCCTGCCGGCAGTGGGGGGAGGGGAAGGTGCCCAGTTAGAGCTGGGCTAGGGGAGCGCCCTCAGGGGC